GGAGAATTTAGGAGGGAAATTAAAATATCTAAGGGTACGAAAAATAAAAGATCACTCCAGGCGATCAAAGGCCTTTTCAAGGTCGATTTTTAAGATTATTTGACCATTTTTTTCCTTTTAATTTTTTGAAGTTAGAGATTAACTCTTGAATTATAATAGCATTATCCGAGGCTCTTCTGTGTTTCATAAAACTTGTTTGGAAATGACTAATAATTTGTTCCAAGAAAGGCTTGAGACGATTTGTAAGAATTTTTGTGACCGTCTTGTACATAGTATTGCATGGGCTGATTGGCCTAAAATTTTTAATATTGTTTGCATTAGGAATTTTTGGAATTAGACGAAGGTATGTTTTATTAATGTTACTAGGGATTTGCTGAATGTTGAAGATATCATGACAAAGGTTTTTCACGGAATTTCCAATAATATGCCAATACTATTGGAAAAAAATGGATGAAGGCCATCCGACCCAGGAGCCTTAAAGGGTTTAAAGGAGAATATTGCTCTCGTAACGTCACTGTTTAACAAAGGATTATCTAAGGTTGTTAGATCATATTTATATCAACTATATGGGCTTGTTTTTATATTCTTCCAATCAGTTTTTAAGTGCGAGGTAGTGAAAGTATCCCTAAAGTAATTACAAATATGTGACATGATCAATTGTTGATCATCTAGCCAGTTTCCAGCCTCATCCTTAAAATAGGTAATCTTATTTCTCCTCCTCTTATTTGAAGCGGATATGGGAAATTTTTGTATTAGCATCTCCTTCATTGAGCCATATTATTCTATACCTCAATTTCCAGTAATCCTCCTCAATTCTAAGGATGTCATTGTAATCTTTTTGAGACTAATCTCGAGTGTATGAAGAAAATCACTCGTTTTGTAATTTCTAGAGTTTTGGAACCCTTGAAGTCTTGCCAACTTTTTTCTTTTTTTACTAAATATATTCCCAAACTTCTTGTCCTTCCATGACTTTATACTACTTGCAAAGTTCTTGCTCGCGCTGCAATAGTCTATTCCAGTACAATTTTTTCTAACTAGATTTTGGAAGTCGGGGTGTCTACACCAAAAAGATTCTAATCGAAAAAGTTGTCTATATTCTTGTCTGCCTCTAGGAATTAATTCTACTAGAAGAGGATTATGATCTGAGTAAGTCTTTGGAAGGTGGATTACTGAGCAATTAGGAAATATTTCAAGCCAGTCCTCATTTCCTAAAACTTTATCTAGTCGCTCCACTATAAGACCCTTTTTCTCTTCCTATGATTAGACTACGTAAATTTGCAACCCTTATAGCCGATGTCAGTTAAATTACAATTACTATTTTTTTACCAAAGTTAATTAACTCTAATATTGTTTAAAGGTCTCCCCCCCCCCCCCCCCCCAAATTTTTCATTTGATCCCATAATGTCATTGAAATTCCCTCCTACCATCCATGGGCCTTTGTAATTTTTACGAATATTATATAAGTTATCCCACACAATATTCCTATTATATTTATCAGTACTTGCGTATATAGATGAAAATAACCAAAGTTTACGAACAGGAAGTACCTCAATTGTTGCATGTATTTCCTGGTTCCTGCGGATGAAATTATGGACAGTGACTACATTGTGGTTCCACAGTACCACCATACCTCCTGCTTGTCCTTCAGCAGCGCTTCTATCATCTCCGAGAAACCAAACTCATTGAGCATTTGAGCGTAGTTTGCCATCCTAGTTTCCAATAATGTAACCATGCATAGTCTGTGTGTATCGATCATCTCCCTAAAATTCCTCCTAAAGTCATCATTATTCCCTCCCCTAATGTTTCAAATAATGAAATTAGTTAGACGATTCATGGCATTCATGTCTGTTGGATCCCCATTCTCCCCCTACCCCCCCCCCCTAGAAAGACAGGGATCTTCCTGAGTGAAGGAACTAGAATCATGGCTCTGTTGCCCACAGTTGGATCTTATAGTGGCCTGATGTCCATTGAGATCTTGTATAGTGCTAGTGGGCAGTAGAGCACATGCCTCTTCTCTTGCATCTCCATAAAGAGATACACTTTTACCTCGTTTAGGTTTGAGAACTCCAGAATCTGCTCCACGCCTAGGTTGAGGGGGTCTCCTATTTCTTCCATAGCTGCCTCTTCTTGTTCTGGATCCTGCACCATCTGAGGTTGTTGTGGGGGTGGTTATTGCTCCATTGGTGGTACTTGTTGCTCCTGGGTTTGTTGAGGATTTTCCCATGGCATGAAGATCGAGTTTAGTTCTGAGAGAGCTTCTGATGGAAAGAAGAGCATGTCCAGGAGCATGTTTTGTGGTTTATGGGATTGAAGTGGGGTGGCATGTTCCATTGGTTCCTCATTGCATGCACTAGGTGCAGGTTCATCGATGGTGCAAGTGGGTACAGAATATTATTTAACCATACTTGGTTTAGATAGTTGTTCGTTGAAAGTCTCATCCCTTCGGATATCAACTTTGTTAGGTAGTGGGTGTTTTGGAGGACGACTATCGTTTCCTACCCATTTATTTGGAGATTGAAAGAGACTGCATGACCCATCAGTCCCATCTCCATCCATGAGAGAGGTTGGTAGTCTTGTGCAGTTGGTGGTTGGACAAAGATAATTTGTGGGTTTTCCATTTAATGGGTGGAAAGGAGGCAGATTTTCCATATTCTGAGCTCTTTGATGTCTCAAAATCTGGATTAGTCTGTGCCTTCTCCTTAGTGTGGAGGGAATTCTTGGCATCTTGTATTAATAGGTAGTCTTTAATGGAGTTTTTGGCAAGCGTGATTTTGGATTCACCGGTGGTAGTGAGAGTAGGTATTTAGGGCAATGATTGAGTTTTCAATTTGCATGTCATTTGGAAGGGAAGGCGTAGGGTTTATAACAAGATCTTCTGAAGATATGGCTTCCATTTCGTGTTCTAGGGAGTATGCCATTTGTTTGGTGATTGAGTTTTGGTTGGACATTTGTAAGACATGCTCGCGGGGTCCTTTTTCTAGTTCTAAGAGGGGTACCTTATCTCTCATAATTTGTTTTGTAGTAGTATTAGTATCTAAGGAATGTTTTATTTGGTTATTAGCATTGATAGGGTCATTAGCAGTTAGTAGGCTAATCCTATTGTTAGAGGGACTCTTATGCATGGCTTTGGTAGTAGTAGTGTTTTCTACTGACACGTTTGTTTCTAATGTGTTTTTAGTATCCAAACTACTATCCTTGTGTTCATCTCTAATAGAGTAGTCATTTTTAGTTTCTTTTTGATTTTTATTAATTTCACGCAAAATTATTTGCTCATTTTCTAGGAGCGAGAAGTTGTTTTGGGTTTGAATAGTGGTATTTCCTATGGCCAAGTTAATTGAGGCCTCATTGTTGCATTTTCCTTGATTTTGCACTTGTATTGCAAGACTTGAGTGTCCAGATACTTACCTGTACTAGCATTGAATAATTTGACAGTGATACCTGAGCTATTGTGATTCTCCATTGGTTTGATGAAGCTTTTTGGAATATTTTTAGGGTTTGCTCCTTCCCTCTGTTGAAAGATACTGTCTTCCACTCCCCATCAGCCTCTTCCATTGTCGTTGTTGGCTGGTCTTTGTTTGGAGTTATTTTTCCCATGCTTTCCTTTTGAACATAAGTGCACTGGTTCTGTGTACGTCCTAACCTTCCACAGTTCTTGCATAGAAAGTTTCCCCTTCGTAGTAGATGCATTGTTTATGGCGGCCAATGTAGACAAATGGTTGTACTAGGAATTCCAATGGTAATTCAACACAGAGCCTAGCATAACGACCTCGTACCGTGGTTGATGTGCATGCATCAACTTTCAATAGACGTCCTATGGAATTCCCAACTTTTTCTAAGATTTTTCCATCATAGAATTCAGTCGGCAGTTGTGGTAATCTAATCCATACTGCTGAGACTGTTAATTTTCCTTGGTGGCTACAAAATTTGATTTATATTTTGTAATTGATAGATAATGGCCATTAATGAACCATGGTCCTTGATGGAGGGCCTTCTCCATGTTCTCTTTTTTGCTAAATTTGATAATGTAGTAGTCTTCCCCTAGGTCAATTAATGGGAAAACCTCTTAGGGACGTCACAACTCTTGGATTTTCTTCTTTAGGTAATGATGTATTATACGTTTTTCGAAGAGTTTCACGATGATAGAGAACCTCCATGGTTCATAAACTCTCTGCTTGTCTTCCTCGGTTGGAGGAATTGCCTTAATTCCCCATGTATTAGGCTCCATTAAATGAACAGACATTCCTTCTTCTGATGAGCTTTCTGCCAATTGCATTTTAAATAGATTAAAAGCACTTGTAAAGTTCATTGGATCTGAGGATACTAGCATGTCCCTGAAGGACGTTTTGTCTTCCAGGCCAATTACTAAGAACAGAAAATTTTTGAAAAGTTTAACAAGAGTAATATATAGAAAGCCAAAAGAATATCACTCCAATGGTGGTATTTCAATGACCAAAAACCCATAATTCTATGATATATTAGTAGTCATTTTGAATTTTAGTGATTTGTTGGAAATTGATTTCGTCTTTTTCTTTTTTTTTTTTAATTTCAAAGGAGAAATTAAGGGGGAAAGATCAGAAAAATAGCTACAATTTCAAAAATAATCGAAATTTAGCCATTTTTCATATACAGATATAATCTGAACAAAAACACTCTTAGGGCAGCCCGATACACTAAGCTCCCGCTATGCGCAGGGTCCGAGGAAGGGCCGGACCACAAGGGTCTATCGCACGCAGCCTTACACTGCATTTCTGCAAAAGGCTATTTCCACAGCTCGAACCTGTGATGCAGCAACTTTACCGTTACGCTAAAACACTCTTAAAAATATGGAAATATTTCAGCATAATATGCTGTAATTCGAATTTTTTGCAAATGATAGCTATTTTTCTGGCTAGACCGTGCTATTTTTACAAATATAAGAAAGATAGCCAGTCTCTAGTTCATTGCATTCTTTGGGCTGGTGCGGGTTCGGCTAAATCAGGTCAGCCCATCATTATGAAACGACCCGTCGGGTCACTGTCACCCAGAGACTGACCGGTGATCACTTTACTTTTTACTCTTTTACAATTTTTCTCTCTCTGCCCTCCGTTTCGATTTAATCTCTCTCCTTTCCACCTCCGCTCCAACAACCACCGTCGTCCTCCGGCGTCCTCCGCTGCATCAGAAAATTGACTGAGATCGGCGAACATCTGAGTTTGTAGCTGTATTTGACCTAACAGTAACGGAGCAAGAAGAAAATGAGCACAGTTCCGAAAGAGACAATAGAAGTGATAGCACAAAGTATAGGTGTGAGCAATTTATCACCAGATGTCTTGCCTGCTCTCGCCGCCGATGTCGAATACCGTATTCGAGAGATTATGCAGGTACTTACCTCAATTTACACACACACAGTGTGTATATAAACACACAAAACACACTCTCCTATTGGGAAAAAGCTAAAATTTGGATAATTTGCTCTTCGAAATTACTTCTGGAGGATAAGCGTGGTGCAATTTTGACTTTTGAGGTTATCGCACATGTAAAAGTTTCCACACACTCAAGCACACAGTTTGTGTATATACACACAATAACACACACTTGGAAAAAGCTAAATTATGGATAGTTAGCTCTTTGAGATCACGTTTGAGGTTATGGAGCATGTAATTTGCATAAAATTTTGTTTGATAATTTAGGAAGCTATTAAATGTATGCGTCATTCGAGGAGAACGGCCTTATCTACTGATGATGTGGATGCTGCACTCAGCTTGAGAGGCGTAGAGGTACCTCTTCTGTTTGTATACCAGCCAATTTGTGTAATATATATATATATATATAGATATATATATATATATATATATATATAGAGAGAGAGAGAGAGAGAGAGAGAGGCGTATCTACACTCTAACCTATGGGTTCACGGGAACTCAGAAACTTTGACTTAGACTGTATGTATTAAGAAATCCACTAAATATCTACAAAAATTTGATTGTGAACGCATAAACATCAAATTTTGGCTCTGTTTAATATATAGGTTATAGCTGATCGATCTAGTTTGACATTGTGGTTTAATTGATTGTTCTTTTATGTATTTTTTGCCTTGAGCAGCCAATATATGGTTTAGCTTCAGGAGATCCGTTAAGGTTTAGAAGAGCGGCTGGACACAAGGATTTGTTCTACATTGAAGAGAAGGATGTAGATTTCAAAGATGTAAAGAACTTTGATACTGGAGGTTTCAGTACCAAACTTAGTTTGTGAATTTATTGAAGTGATGCTCATAGTATAAGTTGACGTGTTTTCTGGTTTAGGTGATTGAAACTCCTTTGCCTAAAGCACCGTTAGACACTGCTGTTGTTGCCCATTGGTTAGCTATAGATGGAGTACAGCCTGCTATTCCTGAAAACCCTCCGCCTGAAGGTTCGGGTTTTGTAACAATCTTAGCTGCAGTTAGTTTGTCTGGATGTTTTAACATTTGTTTCACTTTAGTCATATGAAAACAAGTTTGTCATGCGTATTGTTCTTTTCCTACTGATTCTTATGTCTATTCTGCCTCCTGGTTTGAAAGATTTTTCTTTCTCCCGTGACTTCTAAGAAATGAGGTATAAGTACTAGTTAAAATTTGTATCAAATGATATTTCAATATGCCAGACTAACTTGTTAATTTGTCGCAGCCTTTGCTATGCCCTCTGATAATAGAAAGACCGAGTATAAGGAGGATGGAGTTCCTGTTGATATTAAAGTACCTGTTAAGCATGTTCTATCCCGTGAGCTCCAGGTATAACTGTACCAAAATGTTTGTATCCTTTTTGACCATCCAAAAAGATTCAATCCTTATGCCTTGGTGGTTTTGTTTGCAGCTCTATTATGACAAAATTACAGAGCTTACTTTGAATAGATCGAATCCTCTTCTCTTTAAAGAAGCTCTAGCAAGCTTAGCAACGGACTCAGGGATTCATCCTTTAGTTCCTTATTTTACATATTTTGTTGCTGATGAGGTAATTGTTAGCCAATTTAAGCCCAGTTCATAACATTAATGGGTAATGGACAATGATCTAATGATAGTTTGTTACATGTCAGGTTGCTCGGAAATTGAACAATTTTCCTCTCCTTTTCTCTTTGATGCGGCTAGTCTGGAGCCTTCTCCAGAATACACAAATACATATGGAACCATATGTGAGTCTACTGTTGATATCTTGGTTGCCACAGCTTACTTGGAAAGCAGGTTTAGGATAATGTTTGAAATTTTGTGTTGATGATTGGACTCGTTAAATTTTAACGTTTATGAAAATGATTTTAAAATGACAACGGAAAAGGGAAGTACATGCCGTTTGAGGAAAGAGATAGGGTTTATTTGCACTAATTAATCATTCTAAAAAAGAGTGCATTATTATTTCTTTAGTTTGAATAAGCTTTGTTAATTTACTTTGTTCATCAGGGTAGTGTTGTATACATAATGGAAAACTAGGCTTTGGCCTTAACCATGCAGCTTTAATTCGTTGGGTGTCTAGTTATGTCGTGATTGATCTGATGATTTTCTCTTTTGTGTCACTTTTTATTCTTTATTTTTTATTTTGGCAAATTCATCTCCAGCTGCACCAGTTGATGCCTTCTATATTGACATGCCTTGTTGCAAAAAGGTTGGGAAACAGAATTTCTGACAATCATTGGGAACTTAGGGACTTCTCAGCAAAGTTGGTTGCTTTAATATGTAAGAGGTAAGGATCACTAAGTTCTCACATTTAGAAGCTACAAAAAGCATACATCTGTGTCATTGGCTGTTCGCTTCGATGTTGATTCTCCCATTTGACTTTTCAAAATCAAGCTGTTATCTCTAACTGGATTTGTCCATTATGTGTTAGGCTTGGCCTTTGTTTTCCCTTTTACTTTTTGCCGCTCCCATGGGAAGGGGGTTGTTAATGGCTGCTAGTGCATGTATCTGTATAGTTGTTGGTAATTGCAACACTATATTTATGTTTCGTGCTTTATAGACAGTAGCTAATCTTTCAGTTCCGTGATATTGGTAATCTTTCCATATTTATCAACTGGTGCTGTATTGTTCACAAGTGAATGCTGTGCAGACATGGTCATATGTACCACAATCTCCAGCCACGTGTCACAAGGACTTTGCTGCATGCTTTTCTGGATCCAACTAAGGCGCTGCCTCAACATTATGGAGCAATTCAAGGGCTAGCAGCTCTTGGACCTGGTGTGGTATCTCCTTGTTCTCTCTGTACTTTCCTTCCTTCTAAAATTTTTTGACGTGTAAGCAATTGGTAATATATTCTAATTTTGTAGGTTCGCCTACTTGTGTTGCCAAATCTTGAGGCTTATTTACAATTGCTGGAGCCAGAAATGCAGCTTGAGAAGCAAAAAAATGAAATGAAGAGGCTTGAAGCTTGGCGTGTATATGGAGCCTTGATGGTTAGTTGTCTTGAATGGTTAATGAGTCTTACCTCATTGTTTTTTCCAATTATTTCTATGTGAAAATGAACATAGCTAAATATGACTTTTCTAACTTTTATTTTTAGATAGTTTGGCATTACTGCAATTAACTCTTCTAATTATGTGCACAGTGTGCTGCTGGTTTATGCATGTATGAGCGCTTCAAGTTGCTTCCTGCTTCAGTATCTCCATCTACTCGCACATTCCTGAAGAGTAAATGGAAAGTCTCAACTACATTGTCGAGTATGTTTAGCTCTTTGTTTTACTTATTCCATTAATTCCCAAAGAGGAATCTATAACTACGAATCTATTGACTACAAATTTTAGTTCTTTTGCCTGGTGTCTGTTAAATATGTCCTACCTCTTGGAGTGTCAATATTGAAATATTTCCAAGATTGATATTATCAGTATGACAGGTTTGTTCAATTATTCTCATTTTCTTTCTGGGTTATATACTGAGCCATCTCCTTGCAGAATAATGTGGATACTGATCTATTAGGAATCCAAGAATCCGTCGTATATGTTGAAGTAATTAAGACTCCTGAAGTGATTTAACTCGTTATCTCTGAAGTCCCTACGACCTGGCCTGCTAGTTCTGTCTGGTCGGTCACTTGAAATCAAAGTTGGAAATCCTCTTCTGTGGATGTCTTCTTTGTCCAAGTGCTTTAACTTTAATGTCTCCTGCAATGTTTTCTCTCTTCATCTTTGAATATTAATGCACTTCTATCATTGTCTCTTCTTGATTTTGTCTCGGCAAACACTAACCAAAAAAAAAAAAAAAAAAACAATTGTCCAGACAAACGCAAAGCAAGCCTGGATAACATGATGGCGCAGCCTCCACCCAAGAAATTAATGACAGATGGTTCAACAGGTTCAATGACAACAAATTCTTTGCCAGTAAGCACGCAAGGACCAGCTGGTCGATACGCTGCAGCCATGGGGGTCACGGAAACTGGTCTATCATCAGCACCACAAGGTTTGCACAACGAGAATATGCCGAGAAGCAGCAGCAGAAGGGAGATGACTGGTCTGCAAGGTCAAAGAACGCTGGCTACGCTTGATCAGGCCTGGAAGGAAGATTTGGATGCCGCGCGTTTGTTGCCATCTCTGTTTGAATGTTTTGGTGAAAGGATGTTTCCCTTTACCCCTTCACCGGAGTTGTCTTTCTTTCTGTGATCGATAAGAATGGGAAGGTGGCATGCAAGAGTGAACGCCAACCGCGATTGTTCACTTTTACGGGTAGTACATTTTGCGTTGATGTAATATGTGCCAAATGCACTTTATTGCTATGAAGTATTTTTTTTTTTGTATAATAGACAGTAGATGAGTGGTCAAATCGCTTATGCCTTGTATATTTCAATTGAGTTTAGTCCACCTTTTTTGCAAAATGTCGCTCCACACTGGTAAAGTCTCATCTTTTGTGTTGGCCGAAGTTACCATTGTTACACTGAATGGTCGAATATGTCCAATATTACTAGCGATCAGTGACGAAGCCGAGAATTTCTTTAAAGGTGTCTAAATTTAAAAGAAATGAAAATAATTCTCCGGCAAAGGATGTTCAATATATGTTATTTACCTCTAAAATATAATATTTTAGCTATATATATAGTGTAATTTTTCGACGAAGGGTGATCAATTGACTACTCTTATGTAGCTTCGCCTCTGCTTGCGATCTCTTTTAACACATTGCAGGGTTGACAAATATTAATATGCAGGAATATTTATTATCTAGTACTAACAAAAAAATAACCCCTAATGGTTAATAGGTCAAAGCATTAGTTTTTGGTATTGAGATAATTGTGATGCGACAAATAAGTGCTTAGTGCAGCTGAGTTTCCAGAACCAAATACACCTTCAATAAAAGAAAATAACATAGATCTAATGTGTTTTGAGATCCGTAAAATATAACACTGATAAAACACAGAAGATTTTTGTATGGTCTGTTTCTCTATTTAAATTGTAACAGTGATCATTTCCTCTAATCTTTTAGCTGTAAATCTTTTCTTGTGATGCCTCTAACCCTTCGTCCCTTTTTTTAATTTCCCATCAATCAATATCCCCCCTGAAAGAGAAAACTAGCATACTAATTACTATGACACCATTTCACTGATTAAAATCGGATTACTTGAGATTAAAAAGATTGTCACTTCACGATTAAAATCCGATTACTTGAGATTTAAAAGCTCTTCAACATCCTAATGCTATTATGAGAGAACCAAATGCCAAGAATTGTGAAACAATCTCTTTCAGTAATCCGAAATATTCAAGTACTTCGAAGCCTTGGCACCTGCACCATAAATGATAAACAGGTGGAAAAAAACGTCACAGGCTCGTGGTCAACGCAAATCCAACTTTCATAAACTGAGCAAGGCAACACCAGTTAGAAGAGAGATGGTGAAGTGGAGGAACAAAAGGATATACAACAAAAGTTTCAATCCCCTAGAGAAGATTCAAGGAGCATAGTTGCCTGTGCATTTCTAGCTTTTTCTTTATACAAAATAAGCAAAAAGAAGTTTGATAGGATGGAACAAGAAGACACTAGGAAGAGAACCATGACGAACATAAATAGGAAAATCTTCAACACTCCGCAAAGGCATTCTGCTGAAAAATAATTCCAACCAGCCAATGCCTACTCATTAAGCCACCCTGACGAGTTTTGCTGTGAAAAGGGGTAGTAAGGCCTAGGAGCAAAACCCGATGAGCTACCTGGAAACCCAGGTCGAAAAACTCCACCACCGTAGATGCCACTTCTGCTTTCAGATCCCATGCTATTCATCCTACCAGGATACAAATCATCATGTGGAGCATACTGTGGCATCACAGGAGTATTAATCCTCCCATAGGTTGGTTCAGTTGCTGGACTCAACCGCCCATAGGGGGGATAACCAGTGCTGGCACCCGCTGTGTAGTTGCTTCTGGGACTCGAAAACTCATTACCCAGCTGCCCATAAAGGTTACCCTGAGGCCGTACATCTGACTCCCTTGCATATACCCCCCCATTCATGTGACTGGGGTATGGTCTATAACCAGGCATATCTGCACGCTCTCTCTGGTAACCCACAAACCGTTCATCTGAGGCCCTAAACGCATACTCAGGACCAGGACTAGCAGACTGAGAATATTGGTGATTTAAAGTCGAATAAGGCTCCTGCATCGGCAAGCTGTTCCTTCTTGCCATGTCACCATCCGGATGTGCCCCGTGCCCCACATACTCGGGACCAGGACTAGCAGACTGAGGATATTGGTGAGTCAAACTTGAATAAGGCTCCTCCTTTGGCAAGCTGTGCCTTCTTTCCACATCACTGTCCTGATGCACCCCATACCCTGTCTCTTGCTCTGTCTGTAATGCAGAAGCACTCTGGCCAGCAAATCGTTCATAGCGTTCCTTCTCTTCTGCCTTACAAGATGAAACCGCGTGCTGATCAGCTGACTTATGATTGGTCACGCTGGGGGAGGAATGTCTAGACAGAGATCTTTTCCCAATATATATCTCCTCTGTTGATTTTTCCACCAAATCTCTTGGACGTTTCGCTTTGGACTTGTCCTGTCTTGACTTCTCATCCAAATCTTTTTGATATTTGCTTTTATCCTGACTCTCTTTCATCGACTTCTCATCAAATTTGTTCTTGCTTTTATCCTGATTCCCTTTCATCGACTTCTCAACAGATCTGTTCTTCGCATGGCCCAGGTTATCACCACCTTCTTTGCCAATGTTATTCTGCGATCTCTCCCTGTATTCTTGGGGCTGATGTCGCTTCTTATCCTCGAAATCAATATCATCACCGATCCTCGTCGACTCAACATCATCACCATGTTCCACTGAACGAGGTACAGGTGTGTGGCAGCAACTTTCTTTTAATTTATCTTGCATCTTGGACGGGTGGCCATACTGTTGGGCAATTGCTTTATGTTCGGCTGTCCAATCAGGGCGACTCCAAAGATAAAGTGGTGGAGCACTCACATTCCAGTCCTCCATTTGTTTGTTATTTGCATCAACAGATCCAGGCAAATAGAATGACTGGAAAAGAATAAGGATGAGCCATCAGACAGTTACTTGTTTATATTCACAATACCAATACATACTCATTCTTAATACCAATCACAAGAACGGTGAGAAACAGTTTACCTTCCCACTAAGCAACACATCATCCTCCCAAATTAGATCATATGGATACCCTTTTTTTACATCTAACCTGGTTCCAATACAAAAAATTAATCAAAATCAGAAAGAGAAAGGCAAGAAAAGAAGTTCACACAAATAACAGAGATGCAAAATACCGTTCTGTCTCTTTTGGTACAATAAGGATAAGAAGCTTGGGCTTAAACCGAAGTGCTTTATCAATAAATTTGTTAGCAAGAGCAGCATTGACCCCAAAAGGAGGGTTCAGCCCCATGATCTACACCAAGGGATAAAAAAATGTAAGTCCACGCAATATATGGTGAAAACAAACGAATTTTGGTGCCTGGCATACATCTGTGAATGTTGTGCTCTAAAAAGAATTATTTCCTACCAACTTCGATCCTGCTGGCAATTCATCAGGCCCTACTTTCATCCAATCCCTCTTTTCAAAATTAAAATCATTCTGCAGGAAGGACAAAGAACGGCAATAAGTAATGTTCCAAACAACCAAAGCATATAGACAGTCACTTGTCAAAGCATCAACGTCTATCATCATTTCTTAAAGCATTCTACGTGTTTGTATAACTTCCACCAGAAATTTGCACATACTAAACAAGGAAAAGCATTCACCTTTGGCTTGAATAAATCATAATTCTTATATGAGCAATCCTTCCCCATCTCATCCAGCTTGTTTTTCATGAGGCAGCTGAAATCATTGGAACCGCAACAGAAATCCACAATCTGCTCAACAAACAACAAAAACTTTAAATCCATTGCCTGCTAAAACAAAGAAGGTTCCCGAGCTTAGAGGCTTTAGAAATATCATAATAACATTATCCTGATTCCTGGCAGATATATAAGTCAAATGTAATTAGAGTTCAACGAATCATTTTCCGAAGTATAACAGAGGCAGACACAGACGATTGTGTTTCTAAACAAGTGAGGTTTCTCATGGATGATGGGGAAAAAAAAGGTTTCTCATGGATCACATTAAATGCATGAATAAGGGTCTACATAAATCCAATCCAGATTTCACACTATGTTACATGTTATCCAAATTGTGCATGGATGTTGCCATAACTTCTGGATAAAGGAGGAACCCACACATAAAATCAAACGACGACAACAACAACATAACCTTACCCCTACCTTGTGTGAGGTGGAAAGGTTGTTTCCAATAGACCCTTGGCTCAAGAAAAGCATTTTCAAAACAGGTGAAAAATACAAGAGTAAAAAAGAAAGGCTAAGATGAAAATACTAAAGGAAAAAAATAATGACATTAAAATGGTAATGATACCCAAAGTAGAAGAAACAAAAGTAGAATAATAATAAGATAATGATAGAATAATAATAACAACAACAATAATAATGATGATGATACAGAGAAGAGGGAGTAGATAAAGTGCTCTAAACTAGAACCATACTCTCCCACAAAAAAAAAAAAGAGAAATCGCTCGATTACCTACTAATCTTCTACCCTAATCCTCGACCTCCATGCTCTCCTATCTAGAGTCATGTTCTCGGTGAGCTGAAGATGTGTCATGTCCTGTCTAATCACATTTCCCCAATTCTTTCTTGGCCTACCTCTACCTCTCCTTAGACTAGTCACTGCCAACTTCTCGCACCTCCTTACTGGGCATCAGTGCTCCTCCTTTTCACATTCTCGAATCATATCAGCCTTGCTTCCTGCATCTTGTCCACTACTTCATTATTAATCTTATCTCTCCTAGTATGCTCGCACATCCATCTGAGCATCATCATTTCCGCTACTTCCACGCCATACATAAAATCAAACATAATAGCAAAAATTCAATCATGTCATTTCCACCATTACTGAGCAAGCCTAACTCTAGCCATATTATGTTCATGCCAAAATAAAAGATCTCCTCTTGCACACATTCCGAAGTACACTGAGAAGTCCTACTTTCAGTTACATCAAATTTCCCAAACATAATGGTTAACTCGAACTGCACTTTTTGTCACTCAAATAGAAGAACAGGTTCAACAAACTTCTAATCCCCAGGGAGGTCTTTAAATTTGACCGTAGTGCTGTAGTGCATTTAAACACTAAGTTACAAGCAATTGAAAACAAGATTCGCTCTAACTTGATCAAATACATCATGTCAATAGCTTTGCGTTGTATAATCTCCATACTGCCACCATCAACGCCAATATCCATTTCAGATTTTGGGATGACCTTGTGTCTTTGCCCCCCAAAAATAAAAGGATCCACAGAGACTATTTCACAAGAGCTTCAAGAAGAGTGAATTGAATTAGCCGCGGGTGAC